CTGATAGGTATTTCTCTTTGCTTCCCTTGGCATCTTGGAAAAGACTTCTGATGATATCACAGTTCCACTCCTTTTTCAGAGCTGACAACAGGTAGGAGGGAAATCTGAAAGCATCAGAATACAAATAAGATTAAAATCTGCCTCCACATTTACAAACAGGTTGCATATTTAGGTGTTTGCTAAATGCTAAAAACTTTCACTTCCCAGCTAAACCAGGTGAATTTGTGATAGTCTGCTATTTTCAGGGAGAAGTTGCTTTTAGACAACTCTGAGTACAAAACCAAGGCTTGTACACATATGCACATCAAGTTAAATTTAATAAAGCCAGCATCAAAATCACCACTAGCATGAGTGATCAATGTCATGAGAGCTGTGAGAACTTCCAAGAGCAGGACACGTGGGTGGCAAAGAATATAAACTATTCTGCTGTATAAATATGGGCTGAAGTGGCCTTAAGGCAAGGAAACCCTGTGCCCTGCATGACAGAACAGCTAATACTTCTAAAGAAAAGAGTAAGGAAAATTGTCTTCTCTCCATTTTTCTTCCCAGTTTTTACTTGTTTAGCCTCTCCCATTGCATATTTATGCCAAGGCCACCAGGTTCTGACTTTATTGAAGATCTGAAGCTTCAGGCACACAAATAAAGCTACAAGTTGGCAGCAGAGTATGTATGGTGGGGACAACAGCAGTGATGGAGGAACCCCTTGTGCCAGGGAGGGGTTCAGAAAAGGAAAGGATATATAGGCCCTTGCACAGAAACAAGGCAAATGCAGCCCTTGGCTGTGCATGCCTGATTTTTTTCTTTTTAAGTCTCTACAGCTGACTTGGATCCTAACTCTCAGGCATAAATCTTGCCAAATTGTTTGGCATCTTTATACACAGCACTAGGGCTTGCACAGCACGTTGAGCAGAAAATATTAATATTAAGAAACACAGTATTTTGTAATGTAGCTAATGACTTAGAGCTTTCAGTCTCAAAGTACTCAGAAACTCCCAGTACACATGGAAAACCAGCATTAGAAATGTACACAGCACCACCAAGGCTCTGATGTTCACCTCTAGATAAAAAGCTCAGTTTTCCTCCCCCATCTATAGGAATACCAAACTGTAGAGCTCATGACTGACATTTCCAAAAGCATTAACTCACCCATACACATTTTGTGGTGGGACTGGACATCCCTTCAATTGAACAGATTTGAAAATGGGCCACTACATTCTATGACTTCATAGGGCCTTACTGGGAATTTTGGGTTAATTTGAGTAGTTCAAGGGACTCCAAACGTGGTGCAGAAGGCAAATCTTTCACTGCCATATTGCTCCTCCAGCCACTAGACTGTGTGCTCTGTCATGGTCTGAATTAAACAGCAGATAGACTGGCAGATTTGTTTCTTTTTTTTTTTTCCTTGCACTTTATTTCCTCCCTTCCTGTTAAAAATAAAATAAGCTAAAGAGCTGTATAAGAAATTCCATCTGGCAGCTATAGAGGACATAGCGAACATAAAGAAGAGATTCCTTTGCTGTGCCTAATGCATGCTGCTTATCCAAATTAGCCACACAATTACTTCTATCAATGCAAAACTAGTTTAATGTTTTTTTCCTAGTGCACAGCACTTGAGAATGACTTAAAATGCAGTGTAATTTGCCACAGTGTATGTCCTGAAGTGGCTCACTAATGAAAAGAGGATTAACTCTCCATTATTCTGAATTACCATTTTGTGAAATCACTAACAATATTTTCATTTATATACATATAACCCAAGGGGGACAAATATTCCATCCATCCAAGCGATTAACAAATAAAATTTATTAGATAACATGCACTTTGGTCTTATTTATGAAGAGAAAGATTAGGGTATAAAAATGCAGATGACTGGATTTTTATCATTCTTGTTCTGATAATACCCTTAAGTCCATGACAGCAGAAGTGGGGAGCAGTGCAGTGTTGTGTGCACACTGCAGTGAGGGCAGAACCCACAGGATGCCAGACCCAGCAGGCACAGTCTCACAGGGTCATCTTCAGCGCCTCTGGGGCCCCACACCCAGCTCTGGCACAGAGAGGCAACAGGGAGGTCCCATCAGCTCACACAGCCTGCCCTTGGCACAGGCCAGCAGAATGAGAGGGAAGCTGTGCTCTGGGCACAGGGGAAGGGTGGGATGAGCTACAGACTGCCCTGCCTCACTGGGAGGGAACTCCTGGCCTCACATACAGGGCTCTGTTCCTCAGTATGCCCTGAAGCTGAGCCCAGACCCTCCTGCTGGGGAGAACCCTCTGGGACAAGGGCAGCTCCACAGCCAGTTGACTTTTCATCACTCCCCCAGGAAATAAAAAGGCTGTCCTGAAGCAGCATTTCCAGGAGCAGGCAAGGTGCAGAGTTCTTTATGCAATGGACATTAGGACAGTCCCTACTCTAGAGAGCTTCCACATGACCCTGGGATTAGCTCAGTTGGTCAGAGCAAGGTGCTAATAATGCCAGGCTCACAATCTCCATGTGGGCCATTCACTTACAATGATTCTTGTGGGTCCCTTCCAAGTCAGGCTGTTCGGTGATCTAAGCTCGTGTGTCCCCACACAGTGCAGTGCCATGAGGTGACTGCCAAGCTAGCGCAGCACTGGTGCATCATCCAGCCTGCACTAACTCATCTACAGCCCACATGAAGCACCACAAGGGGGGGGAGCCTGCTCCAACAAGCCTGTGCAGAGGTAACCCTGCAATCTGGCTGCCATCTGACTGCACTGGGTGAGCGCTCTGCAAGACATGGTCTCCTCTCCACACAAATCTGCCAGAGAAATCTGAGATTTCCCTGCCTGGGTTTGTGCTAAACATTTATCTCCTATACCCACAACAGCATTAAGAACAACCCCACAAAAAAATCTAATCTACTTTTCACTCTTTATTCCAAGAGGGCTGGCCTAGGGAATGGCCTTCCTGGAGCTCTGTTTGGTGTATGTAGAACAACTAATACAAGATGGGGTTAAGCATCTTTGATTCCTGGGAAGATGCAAGCCCTTCTGCCCCCAACCAAATGCTTCATGGCAATTATTTCCAGAGTTGAAATAGCAAACCAGCCCTTTTGCCCCCTTCTCCCTCCTCCTAGTTAAACTCTGTTACTTCTTACATAGTCTAGAGTCAAATCTGAAATACATGTTTTATTAGAGGAATTTCAACTGATGCTTTCCTGTGCTGTAATTCAATTTAAAAATCCCTGCAGCAGATAACATTGGCAAGGCATAAAAGAACATAGCGTACTTGAAAGTTCAGGGAGCATGTGGCTTCCCAGGACAGACAGAAACAAGGATTTCTCAGCAGTGGTCGAGCTTTCAGAGTGTTAACCAAGCTCAAACTGTGCCGGTGTTCCAGTACCACAAACGATCATTTGCAGATGTAATTGCCCTGTTCTGAGGTGTAACAAATCAATGCACTGTGGCCACCAGCTGTGATTACTGATTACATTGTGCTTTCTCCTCTTCCTTTCCTCCATCCCATGTTATGGAGCCATGAATAAAAGTAGTCAGTCCTTCAGCATCAAGGCAACAGGCTCTCAGTTATAATTCCTTACTAGACAAATAGCAGTTCTTATCAATTTCTAGATAACAGCCTAATCACTCGCCAAGTCAGACTGACTTAGATTTGTATCTCTGTAGACAAACATTATCTACACTGCTGAGTCTGCATGTAGAATTAGCATAATTCTGGCACAGGAAGCAAAAAGGCTCTCGCAGAGCATGGCTACTGGGGCAGATAGATGGGACTTGGTACTACACATAAGCATGCAAGACAAGCCCAAGGAAAATTTACTACAAGTTGGAATTCTCAGAGCCCTTTAAAAATCTCAAAAGAGGACCACTTAGCTAAACATCATCATCATCATGTTTTAAGAAGCTTAGCTGAAAGATAGATCCCCTTGCCAGTGAAAGCAAGCCAATTTTTGAACAAAGGTGTACACTTGCCAATCAAAAACAGACTCCACAATCTTGCACAGCTTTGGAGTAGGAAAACAGCAATCATTTGGCTTTTTCAATCTTTGTAGAGAAACAGAACATGACAGGCACAAAAGAGCCCAAACTGAGCAAACAAACCCCATGGGTACTTGGGATGTCAGTGAAAAATGGACATCCTGCTTTCAGCTTGACAATAGCTACATGAAAGCATTAGCCAGATTTTTTGAATTAAAAGGACACAAACATTCAGCAGCCAACAGATACACACACACAAAAAAATTGGGAGCAACTACAGGATTCATTGCCTGGAAGAAAGGTGGATTTTTGGCAGGCTCTACTTGCACACTTCATAAGATCAAGCCCAACTCCACATCTTGTTACAAGTCTCTTACAGAGCCACAAGGTTCAGTTTATCCCTTCAAGGGAATGAGACATGAGCAACTGCTACTCTGAGAGACCAGAGAGCCCAGAAGAAGAAATAAAAACAGAGCCCACAGGGAGATGCAGCAAACAGGGAATCTGCAGCTGGCAACATTGGAAAATGAGAGTAGAAGAGGGTATAACAGTACACGCAACATTCACCTGACCAGACACATTTCTTCTCCCTATGTTGCTGAAAACCACAAAGGATGAGCTTTTAGGAGGGTCTTAGTTAATGATAAAAAACCCCAACAACTTAAATTTGCACTCAGTTCCCCTAGGTGCTTTAGATCCCTAGGCTGTTAGACCTACCAAATTCTTGCCAGTAGATTTTTCAGGAAACAAAATCCAGACAGACACTGAACTTCAATAATCTCAAACCTCTGAGTTTTGTTTCCTTTGCTGGTGAGCTCATCCAACAACATATTCCTCACCTTTCTCTGGAGAGGCAGAAATCTGGGTGCAGGTCTGTGTTTGCCACAGAACAGGTACGTCTATCTCAAGCAATGCTCAGTCCCACCTGGTCAGTGCTGCTCCCAGGATGCCACAGTGAGCAGGAGTCAATGGCTTTGTGCTCCCTTGGGTTAATGTTCTGTTTTGGTTGCATTCCAGTTTCTCGCACATCCTGAGAGCGCCACTTCATGGACAAGATGTCATCAGGAAGCTGGAATGCTGGCAAGAAAAATGCATATACAGCAGTCAAAGTAGATCCTGATGAGGACTATTGTACCCCAGGGGCATTTGAACTGGAGAGGCTCTTGTGGAAGGGCTGCCCACAGTACACTCACGTCAATGAAGTCTGGCCCAACCTCTACATAGGAGATGAGTAAGTGTTCACATACCCCCTGTGCAGCAGCTAAGTGTACCTGCTACACCTCCTCTACACAGGAGGGACCAAACTCTTCTAAACACAGCTCACTGACAGAGCAAAGTGTTTGAAACCACTGACAGATCTCAGAGCCTGGCATGGCCCTGGCTGTCACTGCTGCTTCAGGAAAGAGCAGAGAAAGTGCAGCCAGATCTGCTATTAAAGACAGAGTGACAGCGCTGGTTGTAAAGACAGAGTGACAGCACTGGTTGTGGCACCAGTGTAGGCTGCAGAGGTTGAAGCTCGTCATGATCTATTTTTAAATGGTTAGTTTCAAGGAGCAATTTGTTATTTATCTCTGAGTGAAAGTTGTTCCACAGTTACAGAGCATGGCCTGGATGTGTTTGCCACACCTTAGGTTGGTTTAGGCCTAAAATGTAATTCTTGAAAAGTGACTGAAGAGACAGCTCACCCTGCAGTAGTATTTCTGCATTTCTAAGCCTGTGCTTGTGGACATAGAACACTCTGCATTTCCAGATTGCTCAAGAAATTAAAGCAAACAGAACCCTGAGGAAGGCAAAGCTGCAGAGGTGTGTCTCACTGATCTGACCAAGTGTGATTTAGAAAAAAGCAAACCCACAAAACAGACTTAGTCCTGCTGAGCACAGGACTAAACTAGAAGCAGTCTATTCCATGAAGCAGAGAAGACTGCTGCAGCAGGAGACATGCCATCAGAAAATCCCCCGGCCCAAGCCCTGAGCAGAGCAAGAGAGCCTTTCTTATCCCTTTGCCATTATTGGCCCAATTCCCATTTTCCTCTACACCCTGCACTAACATGACATATATTTTTACATCATCACTGAAAGACACAAGTAGGAGCCCCAGTGGCTCCAAAGTTCTCAATAATTTTTAAAAGGTCCTAAAATTCACCTGTTGCCAGCTTATAAAAGAGGAAAGATATACAGCTTTGAAAGTTACAAGGCTCCTAATATCATCCACCAATTACTTCTGTGGCGCCAGAGGCAACAGAAAGACACAAGAGTTCTGGTCTTGTACCCAGCCAAAGCTCCCACTTTTAGAGACAGGGATGGGAGACTGTGTGTGTGTGTGTGTGTATGTGTATGTTGTGTGGGATAAAAAAATTAAACCATGGGAACAGCCTGTCCAAATGATTCAGGAAGAAAAAGGGATTGAGTTTTTCTCTCCTGCCCTGCCCCTCCTGTTAGATATCTCTAACTCTAGATTTACCATAAAGAACAGCCTCTTCTGGCATTTATTTCCTACTTCATTGTTTAGAATCACCATCAGAGTTATTCTGAATTAAGCTGTTAGAATAATTTTCCTCTAATCTCTGTGATGAAGCTATAGCTGTGCCTGCTGAGCAAAGGGATGTAACCAGACAAGAAGTCAGTTTCTCAGCCCAGGACAGCAGTCACTGAATTTTTCCTGTAATCTTCCTGTAGCAGTGGCTTCTTACACCTTGTAATTTAGTAAAAGCTAGAAGGTGTGACTCTGAATACACCACACACCTGGCACTTCATACAAACTAACCAGAGGAACAAAAATACAAACTTCTTGAGAGGCACGTAGAGCTACAACCTGTCATGCTGGGTAATGTGTTTCTGCTGAGGACTGGTCTTAAGTCAAGAGGATAACCAGTGGTGCTTCCAAGGAAAACAAGTTCCCCACCATGACAAGACAAAAGCATGAGAAAACCAATGGAGAAGGAAAAACAAGTAAGGAGCAGGTGGGGGGGGGGAACAGAAATAAAACTTCACCAGAAAATGGAACTCCCCAAAAGAGAACTACTATTGTCAGCCAGGCAAGGGCAAACTTGACACGGCAGGAAATCTGCGAAGTAGTCTGCATGCAAGATGCAGGTTTTCACTACCTTAACTAAAATTTGCTTTGAAATAGGCAAAGTCCATGGACATTTATATCTTTCCTGGAGCCAGCTCCATATCTTACTCCTGACCAACAGCCTACCCCCTCAGTGTGGCAGGATTTTTGTATTGTTTTAAGATCTTGCTGTAGAACTAGTGGCCAAAGAGATGCCACAAGCCACGAACAGATGTTGGGTGCATTTGCATCTTTAGCCAAGCTAAATAAAGGTTGATGTTGAAAGAATTTGGTGGAACTCATCAACAAAATCAAATGAACACACACATCCAGAGTTTATCTTCAGAGCCTCCACATCTGTGCTTCATTCCTGCCTCCTGCATTTACAAGGTTAACAGGACTTGTGGCTGCTTATGGAAATGCTAATTAATTACCCTGACTACGTAACCACATCTTCCTTCTAATGCAATCCAGGCTATCAAGGAGCCCTGTGAGGCCACTCCATCCTTTTGTTATGAGGCTTCACTGCAGATGTTGCCCAGAGGCAATGAAATCTCTATGAGCCTGTCAGACCCAGAATAATCAAAGCCTCAAAATATAACATGCTGTGTTCAACTCCAATTGAAATTTTCCCCCAGCAAGTTCCAAGGGCTTTTAAAGACCAGATACTGGAATTTGTATGACACAGCCCAGCAACAGGAATAAAACACTCTTGGCCAAGATTTTGAGTCAATTCCTACCAGGATTAGTGTTTGCATATATCCTCCTCATATTTAGAAGTCCTCTAAAGGGATAGAAAGCAGCCTTGTTTTTCTCCTTTGTTTCTCTGGCCACCTGGTTTCTTGGAGGCAGTTTTACTGGCAAATCCCAAACCTGCTTGGTTCACTGGGATCACATGGAAAGTCTTTGCCAGTTACTCATCTTGTAGTTTCTTCTTGCAGCTCTTCAGTGATGGCCTTATTATCTGAGATGATGTTTAGGCTTCCATATTTCTGAAGTTCAAAGAATATTTCCACTGAAGACAAAGGCCTCCCAATTTGTTTTCCTCTTGAACATGCACTAGATCTCCTTAGGATTTAAGGCCTGATCACAGTTTCAGGTCTTGCCATGTTCTCAAACTACTCCCAGAAAGAAAAAGTCTTTTGAAATGTAATTTGTTACAAGTTAAGTATGAAAAATAATTTTCTGGGTATGCAGCTGAACTGAGCTTGCAATTCACAAAAGCTATGGTCTGTGCCTATGCCTTGCCGTGACTCATGGCCTTCAGAACTGATGCAGGTAAGGAAGATGAGTAACCCAAACCCACAATTTAGAATGCATGATAATAAAGATAAATAACTAAACATGAAATGTATGCATAACTAAAACTCATTCTCTCCTCTTACCTTTCTGCAGAGAAGCAATACAGCATGGCTTTTTCCAAGTGACCAAGTAAAAAGATAATTTACACTAACCTAGAAGAAAACAGATGGGACTCTCTCAGGCTAGAAAACAGCTACCTCCCATCGTTTAGCATTACGAACTCCTAGCATCTACATCAGTATTAATCATATAAAAATAGAAGCAAATACAGATTTAGATTACAACAACACTCTTGAGGACATAGTTTTAACTTGGGTAGAATGAGAACCTGCCAATTGTAACAGCAGTTTAACAATCCAGAAAATCAGATCTTTAACAGCGGACAATAAACCTCAACGCTCCAGTGGTTTCTGAGACAAGTAACACTTCTCCACTCTCTCTATCAGTGATCTCTAACATTTGATAAGTTGCTGAAGTCAAGACCAGGAACTGACTGACCACAGCATGAGTGCTTGGTGCCTTTGCTGTGTAGAAAGCAGAGAGCTATTTCCTCTATCTAGGTTGTATCACTTACAAAAACTACATCCACCATTTAGGGCTAGAGGAAAATCAAATACTAAATATTTTCCATCCCACATTCTGATGATCTTGCTCACTGTTTTCAGTGGTACCTAAAAATTCTTTTAATTCACACTGAGCAGGAGGTACCCAGAGAAGTGGAGCAACACCTCAGAAGGAAAAGGGGATACAATGCTACACTATCTCCAGACTCCCTCAGTGCTAGAGTTACCAAGGAAAATTGGGTCAGTATTATTGGAAATTCTCAACATCTCTCCACAGGAGGGAGAACTGCCAGATTTTCTTAAGAAAGTGTCAATATTGCCTATATTCAGCAAGCTTCTTTCTGACACTGACCATCTGGTAAATTATCATCCTGCACTGAGCTTTCCTTTAGCGCTTAAGAAAACGGAAAAGTTCGAGAGAGGCGATTCCTCTCCTAGTAACATGTTGCCTCAGATTTCCTGGTGTTTTGTCAATCTGGGTCACGTCAATCTGTGGCTTTAACAGTCTATACTGAAACATGTTTGCATTGCACAACCTTTGCATGAAGTTTAAGAGACTTGGCTTTACTTAAAGCTGAAAAGCACACCAGTCATCTGGGGTGTAGTACCAGCTGTACAGTGCTAACTTACCTGAGGAGGGAGTTGCTCTGCCCACACCCTCCTGAGGTATTTTGGAGGACTATTTCCTTCAGTTGTATTTGTGTTTTCCTCATGAGCCACATATCTTCCCTTTGTTAGCTGCTTTCAGTACACTTAATACTGTGTGTGAAGGTGCAGGCTGCAGTGCTTGCAAGCTCTTTCCCCCTGTCTTCCAATTCCATTGATTTGGGCAACCTCCTAACAAAAGCAGCTGGAACTAAAGCTTGTCATGACAGTAGTTTTGAAAAGAGAGAGGGGATTTGGTACAGTGGAGACAGCAACCTAAAAGAAAGCATTCTTTTTCATGTTGTAACTACTTACACATTGTTTCTTCCAGAAGAACACAGAGTTTGCTGCAGCACTTGCTATTGATCCTATGAAACTTAGCCTTAAAACTGACAACAGGCACAGTTAAAGTCTCAGACGAGCCCTCTACTTGCCCTTGCACAATCCAAGAGAGGTAAACAGTCTTTTGGGAACCATCTGAAAATGGATGACACTTTTGTCTGGGTCAGTTTGCCCTTTTGGTGAGTCTGTTAGTATCAATATATCCATATGTGAAAGTGATTTTATCTCCAGTTTTCACCATTGAGGTGGGATTCCCACATCAAAGTACTCCCCCTTGCCTCAGAACTTTCCAAACATGTTTATGAGTCCATCTGCCCTACAGTAAATGCAGGGTCAGATTCAGCAAAGCACTGAGCTTTTGCTTAGCATAGAGAAAAGGACTTCTGGGTATACTTAACTTTTAGCATAAGTTTATGTGCTCTGAACTGAAGAGCTGATGAGCTTTAGCATGGGACTAATCAGCACAGGTCATCTCTTACTAAACTGAATTACATTGAAATTTTCATTGTTATCTCCCAGTGCCACACTTCACCTTCCCTGCATGGGAACACATTCAAGGCAGACACTGGAGACCGCAGCTGCACCATGTAAAAGAAAATCAAGTACTAATAGCACAGATGGTGGAGATATACAAAATGAAAACAACTGCTAGAGTAGCCAAGTGCTTACAGCTTCACCTACACTGGCATTTTTAGCAAACTCCTCTTTACAATGGCTACTTAAAATTCAACCATAATCACAAAAATGGAAGTATTAATCACAATTGAATAGGAAACAGCAGCACCCAAGGAGGGGAAAAGAAGAATGTTGTTAACTTGACTATTACACTCTGATAGCGAGCAAATTGCAAGGAAAAAACCCCCAATGCTTTTTCTAGTCAAAATTGAATTAGGAATGGAGCCATAAATCCTCCAATAAGGTAATGATTCATATTGCCCTGAACAATCCTATGCTATTAGTAACCTCAACCAATCAGATATTCACAGATATTTATGCCTGATTTATTTCTCTCTTTCCTTTACAATACTGATACCTCAGGCACAGTGAAAACTGCAAGCAAGGCCAAGAGCATTCCCCGCTCCTTGGGGTGTAACCAGAGGCATCATGCATGATGAAACAGAGCAAACCCCACAGGCTCTGGTTACAGGGTACAGAGGGATGCTTTCACAACAGCTTTGACACTGCACACTCAGCTGAGGGTGGAGAGCAGCCCAGTCCTTCCCACAAAGACAGAGCTCACTGCTGCCTATGGGCAGTCCAGGCAAACATTTTGAGGGACACAGTAACGTTTCCATTTACAGGCACACAGGTCCCACACCTGGGGCCTCACCAGGCTGTTGCTTGCTCTGCTAACTGCCCACCAAGCTGCTGCAAACCCACTATGACCCCAAGTTTAACTATGGCAGTGTCAGTCTCAGCACAGGCCTTCTCTGCCTGGTCATGTTTATGATCAAAGTACAAAGTACCAGCAGACAGGAGGTAAAAAGCAGATAAACCTGAGCCAGTATGACAAGTGGTGGTCCAGCTGGGCTCTTGCCCTAGATTTTGGGGAAGGATTTTATGAGGAAAGAAAAGAGGAAAAATTTTCAAAGGACAGTAGTGAAATCTCTTATGAAAATATAATTATCAAGTATAAGACTGGGGGACAGAGAGAAAGAGGAAGGAGCTAAAATACTTTCTAATCTCCATATTAGGTTTGAGACCAAGCACTCTTGCTCTTGAAAAAGACTAAGTGTCACTTCAGCTTTCTTCACAAGATGCAGATTCTAAAGCCCAAGGCAAGCACCTCTTGCAGTCCAGTGAACCCTATTTTCTATTACACAACAACTGCTTCTTCATATCTCCACACAACAATATTAGAAACCTTAGGAAAAGCTTTCCATAGATAAAATGTCCAGGCTATCTGCTGTAAGAAAGGTGCCTGACACCCTCTTTACAGACTGTGTGCACTAGCTTGGCCTGCAGATGCAAAAGCCACGTGGCCACAGGACTGTACTGACCCTGCTCCACTTAGGGCAGGTATTTTAGGCCTTGCTTCCACTAACAGGTTCTACAACACCTACACACACTTTGAGTGATAGCTATTCCAGTGAAAATGTGGAGAACTTAACAGATTTGAAATCTCAGCACTGAGCACTCATTTTCTGGAAGTTTTTCACATTAGCAATGTCAGTAGAAAAAAGAAAATTTGCTTCCGTATAATAAAGAAAACAATTCCATTGGGTAAGGTTCTATTCAGTTCAAAGGCTATTGCCAAATCAGTCTGCATATCAAGCATAATTAGAAAGCAGATAACATTTGAAAGTCAGCGTAGCCCAAGCATTGAGGAAAACAGCATAAATTCCTTGGTACACGTGTAATTTGCTGTTTTAAAAAAAAAAAAGTTATTTCACAAAAGATTATATAGTTATATCTGAGCATTTATAATGAATTTTTGCAACGCCATTCAAGGTTGAGACATGGCTGCTTCTGAGTCCATTTCCAGCCCACGTTGGGAAACAAACAGAGTAACAATGTGTATATTCCAAACCTGCCACAGGTCAAGGGCAAAACATCTGCTAATGCATTTGTGATGCAAAATGATTAAACTGATTAAATAAAAATAATTCCATCCTGAGCCTCCAATTCACAGAATGCAGCTACAGGCAAGACTGGGGGACGGAAGGGGAAGTTCAGAGGAGCTTGGCCAGGCTGAGCTGACTGCTTATTCAAGTTACTGAAAGACAGCATCCCTTCTTTCTGAATACATACTGGAAAACTGAGGCCACCCAACATTGCAAAATCAGGTTGTAGGAAACAGAACAGGACTGTGTGACTGTCAGAAAAAATGCATTAGTGGCATCCACTTTGTCAAAAGGAAATCAACAATTAAGGAAACAGGAAAATTTGATTTCATATAAAAACAAGTGTCAAATGTTAATGACTGTAACCTATTGTTTGACATTGTCCTTGCTCAGAACAACTTCATAATTTAATTCTAATGCTATTTTTTAGCCTGAGCAGTGCTTTCAGAAGCGAAAGTGTGATAGCATGTACAGTCCATCAAAAAATTTGGTTTTCTACTGAAAATACTCTGCAGTCCTGCTTCCTACTCAGCATGTAGATCTCCACTTGCAAGTGTTCCCCTTGTGCATGGGTCTCTGACCTGAAGCCCTCAGTCTTACATGGTTTGTAGGACAGAAGCTTTGGGCCTGTCTGATGAATGAAAACCATTCCAGCATCAGGGAGATAAAACAAAGACAGGCTTAATTTGAAAACAGGAACTGTAGCTCACCTCAAGGACATCGAAACGAAGGCAGTAGTTATTCACTGCACCACTTCAGCCAGGACATTTAACCTGGTTGATTTTAAGTACTCTCCATCCTTTCAGTATAGAACTGAAGTGTCTTTGCTGGCAATATTTACACACAGGGAATCCTAAGGCACAAAACCTCCTAAAAGGATGGAGAAGAAAGCAAGTCTTTCTCAGTCAATCACTGCTATAGGAATGCAAAGGGAAGGAGTAGGCATTATTTAACATGAGGTGAAAGTGGCAACGTACACCATTAGCAGTGCTCCAGGGTCTACTAAACTTATTTAGGTAGGCATCACCACACTAAGAGAAGCTTTTATTTGACTTTTACATGATTGGATAGCAGAGGTATAGCATTATTTCATGGCAAAAACACCAGTACTGTCAAGACATTATTATTCCTAACCAGAAAGGAATTTCTGCAGGGCAATATTTACTCAGAGCAGCCAATGATCATGAGCTTCATTTAACTAAGAGCAAGCATAGGTAAAACCTTCAGTATCCATATCCCAGTTAAGTGCCCTAATCATTAGGTCCTTGACTGCTCAGAGGGGGTTTTGACTTAGAGCTTGGAAAGGCAGTCAGCTTCAAGCTATTGTGGGCTGTCACCACTAGAATTATGAAACACAGCAGGTAGCCCACCACAACGTCCTGTGTGACAGCAGCTACATTTACACATGGAAGTGTTCAGGAAACATTCATGGAGAGAGGTACTTTTGTTTGGAAAAAGCTTTTTTACATCATGCAGTAGTTATGTGAAAATATATTAACAGAATAAAGGTTATGCCATTTTTTCTTTTTGTAAAAAGCTTTGTAGTTTTCCTAGGCACTAATGAAACTTGACAGCTTTTTCAGAACAAAATTTTCCCAAACTAAAAGCTTTCTGTAATGGAAGAAAAAAAGTTTTTACATGCCTGGCCATGAACTCTACATTTTTTTAGGAATTTTATCCTAAAGCAAGCACCTACAGTGGGTATTGAACATACAAATCTAGGCTTTCTTCTCTGACTTGCCTTGTCCAAGAGAAGAGAAGACAAGAACAAATGAGAACCTCTGGCTAAATACATGAATTCCAGCTTCCTCTGAAGGCTAATATCAAATTTCCTTATATAGTTCTTTTTGCTTTAGACCTCCGGTTTGACCAAACAAGAGAGTAAAATGGAGTTGTGATAGGAAGTTATATTCACATAGGGATGGGATTTTAAAATTGTATTAATTTTTTATAGAAATTGAGAAGAACTCAGTAACCTCTTCTAGGGAAGAAGAGTTTCTTTTTGAATCCCAGACGATTTCACTATTCACACTTTACAGACAATATCATTTGATAGGACAGAAAGGGAAAACAGCATTCATGGGTCCTATTTCAAGTTCTGCCACTGATTTCCTTTTCTGACTTTAGATAATTCCTTCTATTTCTTTCTGTATCCCAACTTTCTTCTTGTACAAGATGGATGGAAGCCAGTATTGCCTATGTGCACAGGTAACAGGCAAAATAAATCCACATTAAACATGCTCTAAGGACCTGGGGGAGATAATTAGGAACTGCAAAAGAATGACAGCTTCAAACAGAATGACAATATCTTAAGTTCCTTAAAATGGTAAATTATGCATTGTTAAAGCATTATCAGTTTCACTAACATTTAGAACATACCAAAGCAGAGGTTTTCTTTATTTTTTTTTCCTAGCCTTGAAGAAGGTTGCTGAGTTACATAGCAGCTCTTGTTTTCCCAGGAAAACGGCGCTGGACCGCTACAGCCTGGAGAAGGCGGGGTTCACGCACATCCTGAACGCGGCGCACGGGCAGCGCAACGTGGACACGGGAGCGCAGTACTACAGCAGCATGGCCCTGCAGTACCACGGCGTGGAGGCCGACGATCTCCCCACCTTCGACCTCAGCCAGTTCTTCTACTCGGCTTCCAAATTCATTGATAATGCACTTCAGGATGAAAGAAGTAAGGAGGGTGCTGAAAATGGTTCCAACCAGGATAATATTTACCACAACTAATTCAAAGCATAGTTCCATGGCATTTTACCTTGCAGGAATGAAACAAGTCCAATATAGTTTACCAGAGAAAATACAGCTAGTAGTAGTTTAAGAGAAGGCAGTGATGTATTTAGGACCCTTCCCACTAAAATTACCCCAAGAGCTTCTTAGCAAGCACTTTTGTCAAAGTTCTCATCACAGCTTGTATCAAGGGGTCCTGTCTGACAGATTTTTTGGTTTTGTTTTGACTCCTTCAAAAACACATGAGACAACTGGAAATTGCCTAGGTGCCATGAATATGCTGTCTTTTCCTCCTTTTCCTAATTAGCCCCTATCAAGACAGGGTTAATAAATATTAGTTGCATAGTGGTGGGAGTAGAATACAATGGTCTCAGACATTCCATGCTATCATTCCACAGCTTCATGCTCTGCACCATTAGATTCCCTCTATAAATATAGAAACCACTCCTCCTACCTGACCATCAGATCTACCCCAACCTGTAACATTTATTTCTCTGCCATCTTCCAAGCAGCAGGGAACTGATACAGCTCTGACAGCAGTAAACTAGAAACATTGCATTAAAGTATTTGTAATTTCTCAGCTTGATTACTACAATTCATTATTTGCTGATCTCCAGCAGTGTTCTATCAGAAAGCTTGGCACTGATGTCAAGTGCTACAGCCTAGGCCTCACACTGACTTTCAATATTACTCCTACTCCTTCCCCTCACATACTTTTAAAAAAAATCACAGCAAGATATTTTACCAGAAACCAGTTGAGAAACTTAAAACTTTCCTGCTGACCTATAGAGACCTTAATATCAGAGGGTCAGATATCAAGTTTCTAGCCTTGTGTCAGCTTCTGTTCTTGGCTGTCTAGCTCAGCTGCAGGCAGTTACTACCTGACTTGCTTCCAATAGCCAGCCAGGTCTTTACACTTCTGCCCTTTCAACAAGTACAGACCACACAACAGTCCCTTCCTTTGCTCAGGAGAAAACCTTGAAAGCAGATCAGTTTTAAAAATCAAAGTCCTAATAGTAGGAGAAACTGCTTCAGGAGCTTACCTGCTTATGAAGAAAGATACCCAGCATTTTAAAAAAGTGTATCTGGAGCAGTGCCTTTGAAAAGGAGAGGATAACTAGCACTCACCCATGTCTAGCCATGGCTGGAGGCCAGAGGTCAGTGTCAGACTGGAGTGGCTGGAATAAGAAATGCAGACTTCCTCATTCCCACCACCCTCCTGTTCCCATAAGACTTTAGTCTGCTGCATTGAGGTAAAGAAACAAGCACAAGGGAAGCAGCAAGGGCAAGGAAAAAAGCCTTGCTTCCCAATAAAGGTTGTAGGAGGAAAGGATGAGATGGGGGGGATATTACCTTTTTGTTTCAAAACCACATCAAAGTACAGCAAGTCCTGAGACAGTAGCAAGCATCAGCCCAGCACTAGAACACAAAATCAAATTGGAGTGACTGGGTGAACAAACAAAACAAAAAAATCTGCACTCAAGTAGATACTACAAATGGCAGTGATTTCTGTAGCTGTGGTCATTTCTGCCACATTCAAATGGCTTTTAAACAAGTTAACTAGGATCTTTTCTGATGAAGACCTACCGTAACACTCATGAAGAAAAAGAGCAAACTCTTAGCTTCCTCATGAGAGAAAAGTAAAATGTGTGTATGTACACCTCTTATCCCAGCCAGAGATGTGTGAAGACACGATGCATGGCCCAGGATGACACAGGTTTAAAGCTTGACAGTAACTTCCCAATACACATCTACAGAATAGAATGACTCCAGAAGCTAGACTAAAGTGTGGACTCATGCCTCCTATGGAAGAAAAGACTAGAGGTACCTAGGGCTCTCCTCCAACAACATACATGTGTTATCTGTGAATGCACATCTAGTGCAGAAAGGCGTTCTGCATTTCTAGCGCCAAATGAACAGGCAATGAAGGTGCACTTGTGCGCTCCTTCCTGATTGACAAAGAGCATCCAGATTCCTAAACAGGATTTTGGATGAAGTAACCAAGCACCTGCCTCCAGTGGTAATGACATGGGACTTCAGTGTGTGGTGCTCCATACTTCTGATCAGTAACAGCTTTGCATTGCTTTGCTGCTTTGTATTAGAGCTGAGCAAACACAGAGAGGGAAAGGGGGGAGAAAGGAAAAAGCTTCAGCTTGTGTGACCAGAATCTGTGTGTTGACGAATTTGCTCTAGCTGTATCACGTCCTGGCTGTATCTGGGGTATGACCTTCAGCCAAATGATCACATTGATTGAACAGATGTCTTTTGATAATGATTTTTGTGAGGAAGAGGCTCAATAGTCAATGCTGTTGAAACAAATTGTCATTCTAATGAAGAAGGCCCTCTCTGAAACAGACCAGAAAGCTTGGCACTTCGGATGCTGTCAAAACAGCCCTAATTCTGACTTAACATTTAAAATCTTCATGGTGATGAAGAAATTCCCTGATCAGAACAGTATTCGTAGGGTTTAAGCATGGGCTGATGGACATAAGAGCAGTTATAAGGGTAAGATTTAGAGGCAAACTCTAATGAGTCCCAATTATGCATGCTGACATTCAGATGGGCAGAAAGCTTTCCCAAAACATGCAATTCAGACCATAGAACAGCTTAAAATATTTATCAGTGAGGCCTGTATAACATGAAAGGAAGACATTATTTTAAGATTTTTTTAGGCTTCCTACTAAGCTACAGATTTAATATTCATTCCCTTGAAATTTTAGTTCCTCAAAATGTAGAATAAAGGGGAATGGCATTTTCACTACATGTTAAAATGTCTGGGGAAAATACACAAGAGACAGATTTTAAAAGAAAATGAAGTGGGAAGAAAGATATAAGAAAATGACAAAAACCCGAGGCTTTTGACCAAAGACCTCAACATTCAAGGCTCCAAATGATTCTGGAAAAGTAGTGCTGCATCTAGACAAATTTTCAAGAAACACAAACCCAAGTCAAGCGAACAAAGTATTTCAGAGATCTGTCACCACTCAGCAGACCTCTGTCTCTGTGCACTGATGCTGAATATTCTGGCACACCTTGAAGATATAAGTGGTCAGAATCCAAGACTGCAAGGGCAGGCTCCCTTTTGGGGAATGAGGGTTCAGAGTGGTCCTTATATTAGAATGGAAGAGACTACAAAATAGTACAGAAAGGATGTGGCTCTGCAGAAAAGTGTCTGTTCTGCTGTAACAGGCAGTTGGCTCTTGGCTATTCACACACAGCAAGGACAAACTTCCTTTTCTGCAAACCAGTGGACATTTCAGAAGATTGTACAGCCATTTTTTGCCTTTGTTAACACAATACAAAACTGTATTTTCTCCTAGATCTCCTCCATTTGCCACCCACACAAAGCAAAGTGCTCCTTGTCCCATCACCTATTTTATCACCTCAACAGCAACAGATTTACAAGGTGGGAAGCTCTAAAGAGAAGCACTGAAGGGCTAAACAAATGTGTCTTTTCATACACTTCAAATATTTGCAGTAATAATAGAATGGATTATCATTTTCCAGGAGAGGAAGAGGCACTTTTAGTTATCAGAAGGACTGGAACTTTGCCAAGATGCCTCAAAGACTATCTGCTGGGATTAGGATGCAGACTGTAACCATTAATCCTTTAGTGTTGGCAGTTCTTGATGCATCCATTACACAGCAATGCTGCTTGTGCCAAGGCATCCTCTTGTGCCTGGAAGCAAAGGAGTTAATCTGCAGGAGTCATGGCTTTGCACCCAGCACTTCTCACCAGGCATAGCTGACAGAGATAAACTATTATTGGCCCTGATAGCACAGTTTTTATTTTTTTTTCTCCTGTGGCAATTCTGCTTAGCAGGGTGTTAGAGAGTGTGCCCCAAATCTACTTTCTTCAGCAGTTCAACCTTTTGTGAGACCCCCTCGAGGGCTTTGATTCATTTTTGGAAATCTTTTGAAGTGTTTCAAAACCTGTCAATCAGACCTGAACCCACTTACTGTTCTCTTCCTCTACCTCCCCCAGATACTGCTGACAGGGAAGGCTCCACAAGACTTCCAACCTTGTTACTATCCAAAGCCAATGACTTCCTGCCTCTGGAAGTCCCAAGCTAAGCCAAGCAGTGTCACAGAGTTAAACTGCAGCATGTTTTTTTGGAGGTGAAAACTCTTGGCAGAGACTCTGCACTCACAGGGGATGAGACAGGCTCCTACTGCAGGGAGATGATCGTATTAGAACACTCACATGATGGTGGTGGTGAAACATTACTTGCATTCAACACAACAGGGTGCTAGCCAGAAATTTCTACAGCAGCTGTTCTATAGAGTAAGAAGTGGTTTCTTTCCAACTCCTGGTAATATGCCTGGCCTTTTTTATTGTCTGCCCTCAAAAATTGGCATAAAGTGATGTGATCTAGATCTCAAAAGACATTATTGCCCCAACAAAAACCAAAACCCAATTTGGTTACTTTGTGTGTCTAGTTAGTAGAAATGGGAAAGGCACTCCCCATGCATTCCATTTATACTCATGGAAGGACAGTCTGAGAGCACACCAAACCCTCCCACACCCTTGTGCTTTGGTTTTTATTCCCAAACACAGAATTGCAAACACACAGTTTGTGAGGCATGTAAGTCAAGGCTGCAGCAGGGCTTGCTATGATACTTAATGCAGTCCCCAGGCCTTCTCTGCAAGCTTTGTCCACAAATAAAAAGATATTTGGTGTAGAATTATTTGGTCATCTTATTGCAGGCACTCCATACTTCCATACATTCCATAAGTTCCCTCCTATCACAAAAGTTCCATACCTTCTTGGTGTTTCTCATGGCCAGCTCCTCAGAGCACTGACTCTTTCTTCTTCACAAAGCAGCCACTGACCCCAGCTCCCCTCTCACCCAGCCATCCCTCTCTTTTATAGCACTCTTCTTCTCATTGGTTACAGCTGTGGCCTGGTAAAGTCAGGCCTGCTCCTAATCTTTGATAATTGGCCCAGCTGCAACTCCTTAGGGGTAAGATTACTTTCTACACTATCTTTATTTTCTTATATTCTATCCCCCTACAGAATTAAATGGATCATCCCTACTGTAGATGGTGTTCAGCTCTAAGATTTTTCACACGAGGGAAAACTGAGGCTGTAGAGAGGCTTACTGAGTGCTGGTGAGGGGAGTCAGACACCAACCAGAGCAGGGGCACTACAGAAACCTTCACTGGCAAGAGGAAAGCAGCACCCCGTGTCAGCTGTGACGTGTGCCTCTGTTTCCACAGGCAAGGTGCTGGTTCACTGCGCCATGGGCCGCAGCCGCTCCGCCACGCTGGTCCTGGCTTACCTGATGATCCACAAGAACATGACGGTGGTGGATGCCATTGAGCAGGTGGCAAGGCACCGCTGCATCATGCCAAACAGGGGCTTCCTGAAGCAGCTGAGAGAGCTGGACATAGAGCTGGCACTGCAGAGGAGGAACAGCAAGAACAGCCTAGCACCTGCTGAGCAGCAGAACAGCACCACCATCTAGCACTGCCCTGGCACAGCTGTGCTGCTGGAAAAGAAACTCCGTAAAGGGAGGGGAGGGGAAGGTGTAGTTAATTACACAGGGATCATTTGTTATTTGCTAGGGAAAAAACCCAAAGTCATTTCAAATACAATGTCAAGATGAGAAAGAAGGGAAGCCAAACTTAAAATTCATCATCTTAGAAAGTTCCAGCCTTAGCAGAATTCTTTGTTACATCAACAAATAAGTTTTTCTCTCTGCAAAAACCTGAAACGTTTACAACACAAAAGCAAGCACAACTTAAAACTCTCTTCTAGCTAAGTACTCCCAAAATTGTGATCCTAACTCAAGTCCCCAGCCTTTAAAGGAGTGCAGATAGGCACTCCTGAAGAAATCTTGCAGGAAAAACACTGAATTGTTTAGTCCGGAGTCCTGAATAGTTTCACAGGAGTTTGCCTTTTTGTGCTGTTTCCTGGCAATTTTATTTCTTTTTTCACAGTGATAATCCAGGGCAGCACAGCAGTTAGAGAGCCTCTACATGAAGGACCAACTACACCATGAGCATTTGCTTTACAGACAGGAATTCTGTATCAAATGATAAACTAAAAGATAACAAATATCTGTGAGGATTTCCTTTTGTCAAGCTACAGTTATCTTCTTTCTTGTATCCTGCATGAGAGCTTGATGACTGCTGTAAGTGAAAGAGGATTTGTCATCGATTCACATGCATAATTGACGACCCTCAGCACTACAGAAAATTGCCAGGGCCATTCCTTCTATTTACCATGCTGATATAAATGGAGTTTGTTTCCATCAACCACCCTGCCAGATGGACAAATTAAACAGCTTATAAAACTGAGAGACATAGACAGTGATCTAAAATGGAAGATTAGTACCTTTAGCAGTCCTTCATTTCTGCTTGTATCAGAGATTCTTACACTGTTAGTAAAAAACTGGCTGCATTTTGCCCACTGCTGGGGGATCAGGCAGCCTGAGCATAACAACACTTACCATTCCTGTCTTTGCTAAGGGCTGAGTGCAGCTTCCAGGAGAACTGACATTTGGCAGCTTCCACATGAACTATGTCCTGCTCCAAAGACAAGGATCTTTCCTAGAACCAGGTCTTGCCTGAAGGACTCTGCTGGCACAGCTGTGCCAATTAAACACTTCTGAAGTAAACACACTTTTCATTTACTTCCCAGCTTTTTTTTTTTTTTGCCTACTGTTCTCTCAGAATTAATGAGAGTAAACCAGAAGAGCAGAACTTCTGAAACACATGACTTACACAAAGTGAGGCAGCTCTTGCAAGCTGCTGATTCACAAGTGTCAGCAGCACCAACTCCGCTCCAAGCCAGCTCTGCAGGAAACACACACTGAACAAGGCAAGTTGATTTCCTTCTTGCGAGCCACCAGTGGCTTGGAGCATTCTGTGAGAGTGCATGGCCAAAGAGCCTCTTGCCTTTCACAAGAATCAACTGTGGCAATTCTGTGAAGAATTTTTTGAAGACAGTAAAAGCAAGAGCTCATTCCCCTGTGGGACAGTGCTAGAGGACACAGTCAAAACTGACACTGCAAGGTGCATACAAGATAGAGAACAAGTACATCTGTCAAGGAAAAAACAACCCTCTTATTTATCAGAAATTTTAGTGCCATAATGCAATTCACAGCTAAACAGGTGTTATGGGGGAAGATGTAGGATAGTTCCTTGTCCTCCTAAAAGGAATTAAATTCTGAAATAACAAGATTATAATGGAAACTTGCCTGCTGTGCACACACTATGCATCATTTCCCAACCAACTCTTAACCCATGTATTGTAAATACAGAATTTTAGCAATATGCTGGAGTCAGGATGCTGTTTCAGGTTAGCAAATATCTGAAATGTTAAGAAGGTTTGATTTGCTTGTATGTTACTGGCTTCAAAACTTGAAACTGAACAGCAGCAGATAAAGACCCAGATGCCTTTTTCACTCACTGTAAAAACACGCAAATGAAAAATCACAAGACATAAAGCTAGACACACCTGAAGGCTGCACACAACTGCATCAAGTTCCACTTTTCTTAAGCATAAAGAGGTGAGTTACTTTGTAAAGATGAAAACAAAGTTTAAGTACTATGAATACTCTCTGCCTTCAATCAACAAATTTAACAATGTAAGGGCATGAACCAAGATCCTTCTTTTATGGTGCTCTCCTTATCAGGTGTTCTGAACTCCTAAAACTCAAGTTATTCCAGATCACCATTTGATCAACAATTTTAGCTCTCATTCAGATTCACTATTTTAGACTGCTGCTCCATTGTATTAAAACTACAACAGGTCATGCACATTAATCTGTACTATCAATTTCTTCATTTGGCACCACCACACAGTAATGGTTTTATTTAAAGAAATACACATTTCTTTGACTTTAAGATATATGAAATATTACCTTTAAATCTACTTTATATACTGGAATGGGGACAGTTTCAGTCAAGATGGCCACTCCTTTTACCTTAACTAGTAACCTTACTGCAGTGAGAGTGGCAACATTCACATTAGAAGCATTCTGAACAATTATTACAGGGACTTGTTCTCATATAGGTTCACACATCCCTCATTTGAATTTGTCCACTCAGGAGATCACATAGAGACAGCCTTCTTGTCTTTAACAGACCTTCTGTTGCTACATGAGAAACGCTCATCTGTGTGTATGTTTGTGTGTGCCCACATACATGCATATACACAGAACCCATACATTTAATGCAGAATTTGCATCATCTTGTCACCCAGCAACAATGACAATGCAAGAGATTACAATTCTATCATTAAAATACAGTTCAAACACCATGTCTGTTACTATCATATATCCTTTTATATAGATATATATATTCACATCTTCTGTAGGAAAGAAGTTTCATACATTAAATATTGACAACCTTGTAAGGTATTAAATACATATTTATTCAATATTTTATTAAGATTATTAAAAAAAATAATCTTAGGTATTCTTTATTTTCAGGGGGTATGCAATTATGATGAGTAACCTACACTTAAGCTCTAAACAGCCTAATCCAAACCCCACCGACTGTAATGGGCTTTAGATCAAGCACATGAGAGCACTGTAACAAACACTGTTTCAGGAGGTAATTCCCATGCAACATCAAACTATGACAAGACACAAGAGGCTAAAAATGGCTCATCATAATTTATTTTATGTTAAAATGTACAGCTTGGGGGGGGGGGGGGTGTAGTTTTTTGCAGTTTTTATTTTTGTTGCTTGGGTGGGTCTTTTGTGGGTATTTTTTTAAGTGACTGACTAAAAAGATAACAGATAAATACAAGAGTGTCACTGGGTCCTATTTTTACATGTATCAAGCCTCTTCTCTTCGGCCCTTACAGTCACTCTGTACAGGTACAAAGGCTACAAAAAAGGAAGCAATATAAACAGACACAAATAACTTTTGCCTTTTTACATGCGATCTGTAAGCTTAGTTTGAGCTATTCACACGCTACTGCTCTATTTTTTCCCTTAAAAAATAACTCCAATATTTTATAAAGATAGAAAAATCTACAGATGGAATGAAAATGTAAAGTTAGAGGCATTTCCATAAAATAGCAACTTTACACCAAATTCACTACTTTTTTTTTAAATCCTGCCAAGTATTTGGACATATACGAAAATGTTTCAAAACTTGACAAATAAACACTGAGATGTTTCAATCAACAAAAAACCGTAAGTTTTTATAAAACAGAAAGCTGCCTTTTTTCCTACCCAGCCCCAAAGAAACTGGTCACAAAAATGGAAAAGAGTCTCAACTTTACACTAAACATACAGCAATAAAACCCTTTGAACTAACCAAAATGTGAATAGCTTTTGCAGCTTTTTTTAATTATTTTTACAAGTTTTATAATTAACAAAAATATAGTTCTGGTTTTTTTACCCCTCAAACTAGGGTAACCTAATCAAGGCAAAAAAATTAAGAAATGGCTTACTGTTAAGCACAACACTTGTACAGTACTACAAAATGCACTGTCACTAACAAAGACATTAGCGGCATGCAGAAGTGTCACCTTCAGAAACAAAATAATACAATAAAAGAACTGCTAAAAGGCATTTACATGTGGGGAAAGGAGAGAGAAAAAGCTCATGATCCAGTACTGTCTGATAGTTTTGGAGTCTATTTATCCACATTTTTAATGGGAGCAGGCACATAAAATGGCTCTGAACCATCAGCTGCTGTGTAATTGCAGTTCATAGAAAGAGTTCTTCCTTTCCAGAGAACTTCAAGCTCAGTGAAATAAACAAAAAATGGAAAACCACCTAATTCCCCCCAAAGAGAAGTTAAATCTCACAATGTTAAAAGAATAAACAAAAAACCCCAAAACAGAACAAAACAAAACCAAAGAAAAAAAAAACACAAAAAAAACCCCAACAAAGCATGAAATAAAGAAAAACTTGTATAAGGCTTTCTGCTGCATACAGCTTTTAAATGGTGCCAACAAATGTTTTTGCATTCACACCAATTGCTGGTTTTGAAATCGTACTCTCCAAAGGTATTTGTGCAGATCAATGCCATACGCCAGTTGGGTAGCGTGTCTCTGCCAGGGCCTACCTCCTCATGTAGGAGCCATTGAGAGACTGCTTGGACATGCCTGTGTTCATGTAGCCGTGGTGGCCCGGGGGAGTGTACATCATGTTACTGTGGGGGGCTGTCTGCATTGGCTGCTGTGCATATGGCTGAGTTCCCATCATTCCCATCTGCATCTGCATAGGGTACTGAGGGGTTTGATTCATATACCCATGATTACTGTGATACCCACTATTCATCATTGGCTGGGACATACTGTAACCATTCATGGCGTTAAGGGTGTTCATGTTCATGTTCACTGAATTGACATTATAAGCAGGGGCTGGCATCAAATTTACGCTCATGTTCATGCCACGCTGCATCGTTAAGGTCCGTGCGGGCCCTTGCATGGCCACGGTCTGTGATGCTCGCCCATAAATCTGGGGCTGATGGGCTGCAGCAGCAGGTGGCAGAGGTG